TACAGAATCCATCCACTCAGAAGAACTCCGAGCCAAGCCTTTCTCCCCACTAGTGGAAGGAAAGGCAGGACTCCAGGAGATCCCAGCGCCTCACACTGATCGCCTCGCCGCATTACTGGTATTAAGAACCAGTAAACACTGAGGAGAGGCGCTATAATCACACATAATACTTGGCTTGAGTGGAGGATCTGGCCATCGCCAAAACTTCAATATATGCTTATTCACAGAAGGTCTCTGGGCTACTGACGTTTCAACCTTCGAGGAGTGTTGTAAGGATGGGTGGAGCTGGATAGAGATTGTGCAAGGGATTTGGATGATAGGTAAGGTTCTGGTGAAATTTGGAGAATTTTTCTGGGATGAGGTCTAGGACAAATGGGATATTAAGGTCATGGTTTAGTGTTTTGTTAGTTAGATAGAACGGAGCATCAACAATTGTCCGAAGGACTTTATATTGAAAGGATTGGATACGTTTGATGTTAGAAAATTATGCCCCCACAGTTCAAGTCCGTAAGTCCATATAGGTTTCAGGATTGTCTTGCAGATAAGTAATTTGTTTTAAATAGAAAGTTTAGATTTTCTGTTCAGTAGTCTGCATAGCTGGCATATCATAGCATAGGCCATATCGTCGGTTGAGTTCTTGTCTTTTGAGACTATTATATGGATTCCATGTTACACCTAGTCTTTGGTCTAAATGAGAGCCAAGATACCGGACTGTGTCTGAGTAAGAAAACTTGATGGAATTAAAGTGTACTGGTGGACAGGAATTGCGTCGGAAAGTAGAGGTAATATGTTGGCATTTAGATTCATTAACTTTAATGCGCCAGTTATTACACCAGTGCTCAATCAAGGAGAGGTGCCTTTGCAGATTTAAGGATGCTATTTCGGGATCACAGTTGGATGATAAGATTGCGGTTTCGTCAGCGAATGTTGCAAGGAAAGTATAGGGATGAACAGGGATTTCAGCAGTAAAGATGATGTAAAGCACGGGACACAAGACGCTGCCTTGGGGAACATCGGCTTTAACGGAGTAGATATTCTGTTCCACAGCGAACTAGAAAGGAGCGGAGGACTAGGTACAAGGACAGGGGTAAATGGATTTTAAGCTTGAAGAGCAATCCGGTGTACCACACCCGGTCAAATGCCTGTGCAATATCCAGAAATGCACCCGGATAGTATTCCTTGTTTTTCAGGGCTGAGGAAATCATTAAGTCTGAGGAGATCAATAACTCTGAGTCTTCGTTGATCTTAGAGTATTCCTAGAATGTTGAAAGCGAAAACCAAACTGATGGAAAAGAATATTTTGGGATTCTCTAATGGGTAGGATTCGTTTTAAACATTTTTCAAAGGACTGGGAGTAGGCTAATTGGTCTATAGGATATTGAGCTATTAGGAGGTTTGCCTGGTTTTGGGAAAAGGATAATAGTGGAGTGTTTCCATAACAGAGGAAAGTGGGTGGTGCGTAGGATACAATTGTAGATATATGTAAGGAATATGACTGCTTTGGACTGAAGTTGTCGAAGAATCTCAGGGGTAAGGAGATCATATCCAGGAACTTAACAGGGGATTAGTTTTTGTAATTGAAATTTCACTTCAGAAGGATGAATAGCTTTAGGAGGCAAGGAAAGTGGGATTAGTGAATAGGAGGTGAAAAAGTTGGGAATTGACAGCAGGGTTCGGCCACGAGAATTCGTGGCTCTGGAACCCTATTGTTGATACTTGGCATTTAAGTCTGCACCCAAGATGAAGTGATGTCCTAAGGAGTCGAGGAAAGAACTGAATTGGGCATTGGATATGCATCGGTTATGAGGGCAATACGCTGATGCAAGGATAAGAGAAAAGGAGGAGGTTTTTAACACGATAGCGGTGAACTGTAGGAAATCATGTATAGGTAATGGGAGTTGGTGATGGAAGAGGGATTGGTGTACAAAGACAACAGTAACGGCATGGGATTTTCCGTCTGGGTGGTCAGTACGATATATTAGGTATTGCGTTATTTTAAAGTGCTGTTTAGTGGTTAGTTGAGTTTCAGTAATTAGTGCCCCGTCAATGTTCTTGTCAAGTAATAATGTAGTTAGTTCGTCTGTATGATTCCTAATACCATTCGCATTCCATAGGAGAATGGATATAGGTTCATTGGAAGTCATTTAAAGATTTTTCGGGGGAGGGATAAAATGTGGTACAAGATTGGTGAGAAGGGATATCAAAGGAGTAACATGGTTTCGGAATTCGGAGAGGAAAGATGTAAGTAAACTGGTGTGATCTGTGGTATTTGATTAATTTTTATTTTAAAATAATTTCAATTAGAAATTGTATGAAATAAAAATATGACCGAAATTGTTTTCTTACATTTTTTGTTTTGTTTTTTAATTTGTATCTATGTCGCTGATTTAGCCCGAGCCATATACCTATTTTTTCATCATAAACTCCAGTCTCATCTGAATCCACTTGTTTCCAACCTTGATTCTTCCTCGATTCCTGATAATCCTCCTAGGCGTTGATGGCCTCGTAATTTTCTTATCTAGAGTTAAATAGGGAGTGCTATCACTGGATAGTATCTCTTCAAATTTGTTCATGTCATTATTTCTAATGTGTGCATATTTACTGGTTTTGTTTGTATACAGTTTTAAAATCCATTTTTGTAGTTGTAATAGTTAGCCCGTCAATCTTCAAATATAGGCGAGTCTACAAAAATTCATTTACAAAAAATGGCATTCGGTTAATTGGAATCTCTAGGTACCAATTCGCTCAATCTCTTAATGAGTCCAAATAACCAAGTATCACAAAATGGTCTGTGTGTGTGTGCGTGTGCGTGTGCGTGTGTGTGTGTGTGTGCGCGCGCGCGTGTTAACAGTCTTGCTCATGGACGAACAGTAGTACGAAACCGATATTAAGTATTTAACGTTTGTATATGGGCCGGATGTGAGAGCAACTTTTTCGTTAAAATCGGCTAACCGGAAGTGCCATTTTATATAAACGCTGAAACACATATTTTTACAATATTCTCAAAAAAGGCTCTAACGATTTTGATTAAACTCGGTGTATCATTGTATAATTAAGTGGTCTTTAATATCATTTAGGTCTTATCCCTGTTGATGTCACTTTACAGGGCTTAAATGCCCAATGTTCATATATGTTTTCCTCTAAAGTACCTTTAATATGGTTTATTTTAAAAAGTTAATCATTTCGCATTATTCAGAGTTACGAAAAAATGCTACATATAATTTTTGAAAAAAATTGAGTTAATAGAGGAGAAAAAAAAATGCAGAAAAACCTGCATTTCTATAGACTGTAACACCTAAACGAATGTACCGATTTCAATGAAACTTCGCTAAAGTCATTTTCTCGACACCCTTTAAATTTATCTATATAACATACTTCAACGAAAAGAAGCTGAAAAAAGTTACGAGGGATGGTAAAATTTAATTCCGAATAACTCAAAAAGTATTCACTTTTTCGTCGATGTTTTATATGTTTTTTCAAAAGTTTATGGAATTCACTAAAAAAAAAAAAAAAATCGTTAAAATCGGACAATTAGGAGGAAAGATATGGTCTCTTGTTTTTTTCCCTGAAGAGGCGAACATTTGGATAAATTTAAAATATACTTTAATTGTTGAGACTAAAAAAAAAACTTTTTCCTACAGATATTTATAAAAGTATCTTTCCTAAGAAAATCTTTCATAAGAAATAAGTACCTAAGTTTATAGCTTTATTCTCAGTTCTTTATTTCAACACTCCATTTACCACCTCTGGAATCAATTTACTCCCTGTCTGCATAGATAATTTTTTCAACTAAAAATATCACTAAAATGACAATACTCAAAAATGTTGAAATTGGAGTTAGTCATTCTGTGGTTTATAAAAGCAACGAAAGTTGTGTGGTTTATAAAAGCAGATAGAGTGACTAGATTTTTATTGCCTACCGTCGATATATTAAATAAATATTTTGTGATTACAATGGTCTTAATGACTTGTTATCTATAAGCTTTAAGCTTTAGCTCCGTTTAAAATGCACTTCAAAAATTTTATAATAGCCCAGCATTGCCAGAAAATAATTTTTATTCAAAGTAGAGCGGTAAGTGAAAGTTGTGTGTTGCGAGCACCCGATTTTTTTTATTCTTTTAAGTACTTACTTCGGTTTCCCATCTCACCCAGCATATCAGAGAAGGTGATGTCCGAGCATTTTGGAGCGTGGGTCCCAGAATACCCGTCCTAGGTGGGATCCTAGAATGTTCTGAACGTTGTGGGTTCGATTCCCACCTGTGTAAGTTAATATTTATTTCTCGGCAGCCCCAAAAAAATTAATCTTTCCATTCCTTCTGTGGTAAGTACGCTGCAGTAATCTCAAGGCAGCTGCCAAGAGGTGGTAAAAACTACCATAATAAGGCCCACTTGCTGGGCTAGTTCCCCCAAGAGGGAAAATGCAAAAAATGTATTTTTTTCTTTCAATTTTTTTGTACATTACTGAACTTTACACATTTTCAGGTTTCTTTGTAAATAATTGAAGTTTTAATTGATAAACAACATATAATGAAATGAAGTTTTGCTGTGTTGATTTTGTTTGTTATGAAAGTTGGTTTAACTTAAGTCGTCCGCCTTTAACAAACATTTTATGTAATTGATAGCATACCACTTCAAGACACACCAACACAGATCTTTTTTTTCAGTATAGGTTTAAATTTCATTGAGTGCTTAGGATTTGACTATTAATTTTTCAATGACGATTGTCTTTTCAGGAAAATTTCATAGAAATTTGAAATAATAGATTTTCCACAAAAAAAAAGTCGTAATGGAAGTTAACCTATCACATTGTATCGATCGGCTCCTTATCGTAATAAACTTTCAAATGCTTCCATTAATCATAAATTACATAATTTTTAAATACAATTTTTTTTATTTTTTAAGGTATAAATAAATTTAAAAAATGAAAATAAATAGGAAAATTGGGAATTTCGAACGTACATCTACGTTTTATTAAATTAACACTAAAATAAAATATTAATCGACATGTAAGCCAATTCAGTTAATATCATATCGAATTTATAACATATGTTTAACAATTTATTTGGAATGCTGTTATGTAATTGTTTAAATTGTTTCATTTCAATAATACTCACCAAGTAAAAATATTTTTAAAGCGATTTCAACTGACGTCGTTATTATCTAGGTAACTATAATAGATAATATTTTCATATTATCAAACAGCATACATTATTATTGAAATTGAACTATTTGTTTTTATCAAAAAATAAATCTTAGATCATCAAAACTTAATATATTTCTATAAAATCATTTATTTGATATTTAAGAAATTTTAAAAGTTTTTCGGTTTAAATCAAAACTGATATTAGTGTTCACTATTATGAGCTACGTATTATTAATCCTACTAATTATTAGTGAAAATGAATGTTATTTCATTATTTTTTAAATGTCGTATCGTTTCAGATTTGACCAACTCTAAAAATGAGAGAAATCTGCCATATCCAAGCAGGACAATGCGGAAACCAGGTTGGAGCCAAGTTCTGGGAGGTCATCTCCGATGAACATGGAATCGACCCCACTGGGACCTACCACGGCGACTCCGATCTGCAGCTTGAGAGAATAAACGTTTACTATAACGAAGCCACAGGTGGAAAATACGTACCCAGGGCAGTATGTGTGGATTTGGAACCAGGTAATGGATTTAATTAATAAAAACATTTTAAAAAATAATATAGCACAGAGCAGGTCCGAGATCCAATAATTGTTTCTTGAATAAATGTCTCTATGGAACCATACATAGCCATCAAAAAAAGTTTAATAATCATTTTTTATTTCCACAATGAGTGCAAGCCTGGAAATTTTACGTTGTGAACCTTAAAATTACCCTGATTACTCTATTTTTTTCGAAAATAGGTGTAAGAAAACATGATGCATTGTTGTTCACAATGTACTTAATTCGAACAAAAGGTGGACAGTTTTGGAGAAGATTTGAAAATTTGCTTACGTTTCTAGACAGCGCATCACGAAAATAAATTTTGTCTTTAAAACCAAAAAAAAAATTTTTTTTAGACACGTCTGTGTGTCTAACCCCCCATGACAAGAACACAAACAATTTCTTAGCAACATATCAAGGGTTAATTCTTCTGTGCTTAATCCTCCATTTGCTGTTCTCGTTTTGAAGTAATCGCTGTTTAGACGTACATCTTGACCTTACATGGAATTATGACCTTAGAGCTACCAGAAACGAGTAAATACACGAGAGTGCTCTGTTGATAAGAGTCGTTTTTTATAAAGGATGTAAACATTGCTTAACTTTCGAAGTACACTGAACTTGTTGCCAATATATATGTCTCTACGATTTCGAGTCTCATAGTAAATTCTCCAGAATATAACAATCTTAAATATGCAATTTAAGTTTCGAACGACTTTTTATTTTTGAGCTAAGCTGTTCACATACACACAGACTCACAGACATACAGACCATTTTGCGGGACTTGGTTATTAAGACTCAGGGGACCTCAACACCTGTATTTCCATTGATTCCACTCAGGTCGAAAATTTTCACGACCGCAATACTTTCCCTTACTATATATTACATATATAGGTAAGTGAAAGTAAAAAACATAGATTGGCCTTAACTCCTTTTCCGTTGGAATCGGTGCATGCATAAAATGAATTTATTTGTTGAAGATTTTATCTAGAATCACCCTTCAAAGAACTGTGACACCGAGTCGTGGTCATAAAAATTGCATGCCTTTAATTTAATAAGATTAAAAATTTTATTTTATTTACCAGATTGCTATCTACAAGATCTTTGAATACTTCTTTGGCAGTTATGAAACGATATTCTAAAAATAATCTCAGATCCTTTTTTTCGTTCTATGGTGCTTTTAGAGAGATCCTTTCCTCTTCGCTATTTTCCGCATTTTCATGTAACGTCACCATTAATATTTTCTGACAACGACAGTTGTTTGAAACTGGACATAATTACAGCTTTTATCCTGGTATTACTTAAAACTGAACTGAGAAACATTGTTAAAGATTTCTGTGAATCTAAATAAATAAAGAAAAACAAATACATTCATTGTATCAACGTTATCGACATATGAATCAAAAGAAATAGGGAATGCGATTTCTATTACCATAACTGTATATCAATAAAATTATTTGTATTTTATCTGTTGATATTATTTATTTATTTATTTTAGGAACAATGGACTCTGTCAGATCAGGTCCTTTCGGGCAGATCTTCCGTCCTGATAATTTTGTCTTCGGGCAGTCTGGCGCAGGAAACAATTGGGCCAAAGGACACTATACAGAAGGAGCTGAGTTAGTAGACAGTGTCCTGGACGTCGTTAGAAAAGAAGCTGAGTCTTCGGACTGTCTACAAGGGTATGGTCGAATGTGGAATAAAAACAATTAATTTTTGTATTTCGATATTATAAAATACATAATAAATTATAAATTTAAAATTTAAAACTTCGAAAAAATAATAGTGTTTCATAAAACATTAGAAGAATAACAATTATTAATTATGGTAATCATAACAGATATTTAAAATTTTACATCAGCCATGTAGGTTATTCTAGTTGGGCGTCATAAAGGATAAAAATTTGGTGATCCAAAAGCATTAAAGATTTTAGGGACTGTTCAAATTACCATGTATCCATTGAGTACATCTAAGAACCGAGAAAATTCAATGTCTTATAGAATGTCTAGCCGAGATCTCGAAACAATTTTTAGCAGAATAATTTCAAGATCCTGCAGATATAAATAGTCTCATGATAAAAATTATACTTAAATAAATAAGTATCATAATGTAATAAAAGTCTTCGTCGTCCTTTAGTTTTTATATTCAATACCGTTGTCACCAAAGTTACTTTCCTCTCTCAACTGAACTCCCTCAAAACCATTGGATTAGATCTATAGTTCAGTCAAAGAACAGCAAAAAAGGGTTTGTAGAGTTCATGAAGGATGAACAAGCACAATCGACTTTGTGAATTTGTTGAGGACACTTAGGAGTTAAACATAGTAAAAGTCCTCGCCCCGCTTCCGCTTCATGGTGGGGGGCGCCTTAAAGGTCAATTTTTCCATATTTTCTCATATATCTTGAAAATGAGGCGTCGCAGACGAAACATTAGTTTTATAACAAATTAAAGATGACAATTTCCTTTAAGAAAGTATATATTCATTATTTTGGTTTATTTTATAGTTTTCGAGATATTCACTTACTTAAATTGCCTATTTTCGAAGTGTTGTACAATGAATAGACAAAAAATTCATTTATTTAAACTATATATATCAAATAAATTAACAAATAGAAGAGCTAAAACACAAATTTCGTAGACCAGATTCTTTTGAGAGTTCACCTTCAATTTAACAACTCGAAAAAGTCTGAAATACGATTATACAGACAAATTTTACAAGATTTTAGGACCAAATAAACAAGACGAAATGAACCAGACACCTGAGTCAAGTGCTTGTCCATCTTCCATGCACTTTACAACCTGTTCGTTGGATGGACTACTAACACAATTCTTCCAAATAGGCACCGATGATTCCAAGGATAACTAGGTTTAGCAGGAGATAACCCTGTTAGTGATTTTTTGTTATGCATCCCGACTCTGGGCTTGTTTAAATGGGCGTGTAGCCATTTCATTTGAAGCAACGCACTTCGTATGCATTTCGTAGCAATCTAAATTTCTTGATTACTCATACTCCCATCACTAAATATTCAATACTATGCTATATTTTTAAAAGACTACAGGCATCATTCTTCACTTAATGCTTATTAACCATATAGTTAATGATAATCCCCACCAATTCTCTATAGAAGTCCACTTAGCTCAGGACTATCACAATGTGATTTCATACTATTCGTATCTCATGAACCTCACAAAATTATAGGATAATTGGTTCGTTATACAAAAAAGAAAATGAGTTAGATAATAGCATTTCTAAAAAATTTAAATAAGTAATAAAATATGAAATTGTATCTATGCTAAAAAATATTTGTTTTTTCAAAGTCCAAAATCTATCATTATACTTTTATATATTATATGTATATAGTTGAAATATGATATACGTTTTTGCAGGTTTCAGATGACTCATTCCTTGGGAGGAGGAACAGGCTCAGGGATGGGGACACTTATAATTTCGAAGATTCGGGAAGAATACCCAGACAGAATCATGAACACTTTTTCGATCGTGCCGTCGCCGAAGGTTTCAGATACAGTGGTGGAGCCATACAATGCTACCCTATCGGTCCATCAGCTGGTGGAGAACACCGATGAAACATTCTGCATCGACAATGAAGCTCTGTATGACATTTGCTTTAGGACACTGAAGCTGACGACTCCGACTTACGGTGACTTGAATCACTTGGTGTCTGCGACAATGTCGGGAGTAACGACCTGTCTGAGGTTTCCTGGTCAGCTCAACTCGGACCTCAGGAAACTAGCTGTAAATATGGTGCCGTTTCCCAGGTTGCATTTCTTTATCACAGGATTCGCGCCACTCACTTCCAGGTAGATCCAAGTATTAAATGACTTTAGATTCAATTCATGATAGACAATGTTATGTGGTAAATATTTTGTCTAGTCCTAATGCACATCGCAACCTTCGTTTGACACGGTTCTTTCTGTCACATTTGGGCAAAATGATATTATTGGTGCTTATAAGTTACCTATATCTACTCTACAAGAGGGACAACTATTTCTATGATCGGTTGAGAAATTGCCGTATTTCTAACATAACACAATTAATACTTCATGAACTTATTATAGTTGAATTTATTTTATTGAAGGAAGTTAGTCGACTGTTATATATATCATGGGTGATAAATATTCAGGACGCAGTCATTATAAGTTTTTATTGGTGCCGAAGTTTCAACCCAAACATACGTGTTTCCCAAACAGCAAAAAGCTATTCAAGTACTACTGCTCAGTATTTGAATACCTTCAGTAACCTTCAGGAAACACACCCTGATGATGACCCACATGTTTGGGTTGAAACGTCGTCACCAATAAAAACTTTATAATGACTGCGTCCTAAATATTTATCACCCTTGAATTTATTTTGTTTGGTTTGCCAAGGCTTACCTACTCGTATATTTGTGCCATTGGCAATCTAAGTCGTTTCTAATGGTGACAAGGGAGCATCTTCGGTGCAAAGTCGTGGATAATTATGAGAACATAATTTGCTATTTTACGTTTTTTTGGAATGCTGATTCAAGAATTGTTGTGCACGTGGATTTCAACTGTTGCTCACTTCAAAGCTGGTCATTTACAAAAAAGTAGGTCATCTATTCTTGTTTAATTTAACAACGCATGAATTTTATAAGCAATATTTCATAAATATAACATATAATACATGATTTTCAAGTTACGAGCAAAACATAAATTTAAAAAACATCATGTATACATTTAATTTTCATTTTTATACTTTCAGAAAAAATCAAAGTGCTAATATAAATACTCGTAATCGGTATCCTAAAAAAATATTTATCATTAAAATCCCTAAAATCAGATACCCCAAGTGAAAAAAAAAAAAACTTCTTCCAAGTGAGGCCAGTATAGCTTCCTCACCATTTCCACTGGTTCCACACATGCCTATATCTCAAGGTCAATAGTTTTTCATTTGTGAAAAAATTAAATTATCAATCCCTCGCTTCTCTTCAAATTTGGAGCAAATTGAAAGTACGGTTTTTGGGATAAAGAGCTTTCTAGAATATACGTTTTCGCATATACGTGAGAAAGTAGAAGACGAAATTCAATAAAGTCGAAACGGCATCATTATTTTACTAAAGTCCACCTTTCTTTTAGCTTTGAGCCAAACGAACGAGCCAAGAAAAATCGCTTATGCAGGTGGAAGTACATCTTGGTATTAACCCGCTGAATCTCTAAAAATTTCATGAAAATTGGATAATTGATACTAAGTGGTATATCCATCACATCGATTTGACTGCAGACAGACAGACATCGAACCAAATTTAATCCTTGATGTCGAAAACGTAGTAAAACACGAGTGGAAATTTGCAATTCTGAGCACACAATTTTTGTTAACCTTCCGCACGAATACAGTGCTTCCCTACCTTCGGTAGCTAGAAAGCCAAAATTCTCATTTAAGAGAATGCATGGATAAAATTTAAAAAAAATGATTCTGTAATAACGTATAGCTGATTGATATTCAAATAAAAAATATTTTTTCGTTTTATGTTGTATACGAAATTTAAGGGGAATACGAAAATGTTGTATCGTCTCCAACACCTTTGTCATTATGACTGGAGATACTTAAGAGGGTTCGAAGTTTACTGCACTGCACGATATTGTAAGAAAGAATTACTAACAATTCAGGCAAATGAAACAAAAAATATTTAATGATCACCATATTACTTAAATTACAAACTTTACTTAAATTCTCTGAAATACGATACTTTTACATAAGATAATCTGATATTTTTAAAATATAGCTATCCACACTGTAAATTTTAAAAGCAAACACCAAATTATGTTCAAATCTTACCATGACGACGCTTACAGTTCTCCTTCGTTGCGTCTTCAAGCGCTGAGGATCGAAACGGCTTTTTAGGTCCTAGATTGACTACTGAGGAGGCTCTGGGAGCTTTTATCAAATCTAAAAATTAACATCTAGAATTTATTCACACGTAATCTCACATTTCTTCATCTTTAAACTTGCCATGGTTCTAACCAATATATATATATCTGCATGTTATATATATGAATAAAATATATTTAAAAAGAAATTATAAAATATATAACAGTATTCATGTATTAAAATAAGTTTTATTCCTCAGGGGATCACAGCAGTACAGGGCACTAACGGTTCCAGAACTGGTGCAACAAATGTTCGACGCTAAGAACATGATGGCAGCGTGCGATCCACGACACGGGAGGTATCTGACGGTAGCAGCCATCTTCCGGGGCCGAATGTCTATGAAGGAGGTGGATGAGCAGATGCTGAACGTTCAGAACAAAAACTCTTCCTTTTTCGTTGAATGGATTCCTAACAACTGCAAGACAGCGGTATGCGATATTCCACCCAGAGGCCTCAAAATGGCCTCAACCTTTATAGGTAATACCACCTCTATCATGGAACTGTTTAAACGTGTTTCGGAGCAATTCACTTCCATGTTCAGAAGAAAGGCTTTCTTGCATTGGTACACTGGCGAGGGTATGGATGAGATGGAGTTCACAGAAGCTGAGTCGAACATGAACGATCTGGTGGCGGAGTACCAACAGTACCAGGAGGCGACTTCGGACGAAGTGGGCGAGTTCGACGAAGAAGAGGCGGCGGAGGAAGTCTAAGTCTTCCCACGATAGCTTTAGCATGGCTTATTAGTGTAGTTTTATGGAAGAAATATATTAATGATGCAGGTGTATGGTTTCATTTTAAATTAATTGAAGACCAATAATGAAATTTCAGACAAAGAAAAATAAGAGTTAATTTTAATAAATAATTTGGAACCAGATAATCGTTATTTATTAACTAAAATATTTAACTGTTTCTGAATTCAAATTTAAAAATCAATCCCAAAACTCTAAAATTTCAAAATAGAAATACTTCTTCTCCAAAACAAGTCATATTCAACAAAGCTATTCATATTATCCATTTGAGAAATCTCTTGTGTATTTCAAATACTGGAATATTCAAAATTATCACATAAGATTTTCTTCAACAAATGTTTTTACTATTTACATGTAGCAATATCATCGAATAGCAACCACACAGGGTCAAGAATGATAAAAATAACTACAGCATAACAAAGAATTAAGTTGACAATATGGTTTGAAGATAAAACAAAGCAGTTACCAGTTTAATTCGCACTAATGCCATCCGACAATGGAGTTGATTATTTAATAGTGATACATATATATAGCCCAAAAGCTTTTTTTTTAAATAAAAATAACGATAATTACTTTAGAAAAAAAAAACACCTATTACCTATATCAAATAGTGTTTAAGTGATTCCCAATAATAATAATAATCATTATATAAATAGGCAAACACAAAACGGTTCAGCCCCTTTTACTCGTCTATTATTCAACCTAATGTCTTCCTTCTTTTTTTGTTTAATAGCATTTGCCTAGCTTTAGTGTTATCAATAAATAAAAATATGAAATACTATGAAAATAAATATATAAATGGTATTTTGTTCAAAACGGCTAATATCCGAAAGTTCTTCACCAATTTCTTTTAAATGTTGACACAACGTCGCAATAATATTTAGAAGTGTTTTTGTATGCGTTTCATTATGATCAGGCCTCTCCTTTCGAAATGGCGGCAGAAAAACATGATAAGCTTTAGACTAGCGCAAATACGGCTACAACAATTTCAATGAATCTTGGCTAAAGTCATCCCCTTGAAACCTTTATAATTTATGTATTTAACATACTTTCCCGAAAACAAGCTGCATCAATTTTTATGATGAATTCAGTATTTTATTTGCAAATAATTCAAAAAATACACATTTTTTTATTGATGATACCAATATTTATTTGAAAGCTTTCTAAATTCCCTACAAAATAAAAATAAATCATCGAAATTGATAAGAATTATCTCCGAAATGAAAGAAAGTTGAGATTTGTATTTCACACCTCGGTAAACCCCCAATTACCAATTTTCACTGGAATTGAAAAATAAATATTTTTTTTGCGTTAAATCTTCATTTTTTAAATAAAAATCACAAAAGTTATAACTTCCATATGGCTCAAGTTATCTAAACCAAAATTTTTATGCTTTTAGGACCCTATAATATACACGAAATGGCATAAACCAGAGGTCCGTAAATATATTAGGTTTGGAGATAAAAAATAAAAACCTGTTTGGAGTTTTTCTCTATTTATTCCTTATGAGGGCGTTAAATATAAAAGTTTTTAATAAAGGCTTAAAGAGCAGCAACTCAGCTTTCTAACGGTCATACAGACATTGAATTAAGAGAAAATCACGAGAAGTTATGAGCTATTTAGTGAAAAGCAGGTAAAAAGATTCTAATAGAGAGTGAGTTCTGCGCATGCGTTAACCCTACACATACACTCTTTATTTCGTCTCTTATAAAGTGACTTTATTATCAGTGAAATAATTCATGTTATTTGTGAAAAAGTAGTGTGAACTGTTAAGTTAACAATTAAGTTGAAACTGGACATAAATAAGGTGAGTAATCACTTATTTATAACGGCATTGTGAACAATGTAAATAGACCTGAGGATAGTGATAGATAACAAGCCGGCCATATACATTCGCTAATCCGACCAGTGGGCTGCTGCCCTTCGGCGGAAGCACATCTACGTTTCTCAGAATTCCACAAATTTGCGTAATATATACGTAATTGATAAAAGACTTTTTTTTACAAACTATTACATTTACCTCTAATTAATTAACATGAGATGCGATATTTTCACATGGTAATGTCGAGCAAAGGTAGCAATCGAACTTTAAGATCTAGGAGTCTAGATACCACAAAGAGTTCACCAATCAAGAAAAGGGCTAGACGCTCTAAAAAAAATACCCCACCAGCTACACCAGAGAGCTCAGTTGACGAAGTCGAAAATCAACCTGGCACATCATCACATAATATGTCAACACAAGCTATATCAATACAAGGTATGTTAGAAGAATCGCCCTTTTTTACAGCTAATCCATTCCAAGTGTTGTCAAACACACAGAATGAACAAATGGAAGCAGTACCCATCCCTAGTGAACCTAAACCCCCACCAATATTCGTTAGAAACATTAAAAATTTTCAATTAATGTGTCTACAATTAAATAATATAGTGGGCTCAGGTAAATACTTATGCCAAAGCCGCATTAATGACACGAAATTAATGCCTGACACCCCAGATACGTACAGAAAAATTGTCAAGTATTTATCTGACACTAAGGCGGATTATCACACATATCAACTGCGCCAAGAGAGAGCGCTCAGGGTGGTGATCAGGAGATTACACCCATCAACACCGCTGGATGCCATTAAAGAAGAACTAACTGAGATGGGGTTCCGTGTTCGCCAAATAGTGAATATATTCAAGGAAGATAGAGAACAGCCTGGCTCAAAAAATAAAATACCGCTCCCACTATTCTTCGTTGACCTTGACCGAACGCCCCAGGTCGAAGACATCTACAAGGTCACACGCCTTTACTACACTAGCGTTGTTGTAGAAAAGCCCTACACTAAGCGCGACATTGTACAATGCCATAACTGCCAGGCTTATGGTCATACGAAACGCTATTGTCACCACATTCCTAGATGTGTCCGGTGCGGTGATAAACATAAAACAGAGGACTGCCAGAAGTCCAGAAGAACACCAGCTGTATGCGCTTTATGCCATCAAGGGCACCCAGCGAACTACAAGGGTTGCCAAACATATAAGGAACTAAAAGCAAGAATTTATTCAGCTCCAAGAGAAGAACGGCCATCCAGGCCACCAAGACAACCCTCTAGAACTGTAAATACAAGAGTGTCCTATGCTCAGATATTCAAAGGAGATACTGCACCCACACAAACTCAGGCCCTGCCACAAGAACCTCAACCTCGAGTATTCACATCTCAACCTCAAGACCCTTATCCCATCTCTGAACCTAGGCCTAATAACCAGGCATTCATTCCTCCTCCTCCCAATGCCACTGACCTCACAAGCCTATTGACTTCTTTTCTCTCTGAATTCAGATCACTCATCACTCCTCTCATTTCCTTACTTACCAATGTTGTATCCAACCTCATCCCACTGCCGAGAAATCCTTAAATGTCCCCAATCAAATCCCTCTCCGTCCTCCTTTGGAATGCGAATGGTATTCGAAATCACATCAACGAGCTAACAATCTTATTACAGGAAAAAAACATTGATGTAGCATTAATAACTGAAACTCGACTTACCAACAAACGACCACTTAACATCCCCAACTATCATATCTATCGAACCGACCATCCTGATGGAACAGCACATGCTGGCACTGCCATAATTATCCATCAATCCCTTTCCCATCACCTATTCCCTTTGCCGACCCATAATTTCCTACAATCCACTGCCGTGATAATCCAAACTTCTCCTTACCCAATAGCAGTAGTTGCAGCATACTCCCCGCCTAAAATACCTATCTCAGAATCCCAATTAACTTCCTTCCTTAACTCCTTAGGACACCACTTCCTTCTAGGTGCAGACTTAAATGCTAAACACCAGCAATGGGGAGCCAGAACCATCATCCTATAGACCGATAAGCTTACTTCCGATCCTTTCCAAAATCTTTGAGAAAATCCTTCTCAAACGCATCCTACCCATACTCGAATCCCACAATATCCCTTCCCATCAGTTTGGATTCCGCTCAAGACACTCCACTGTCCAACAAGGCCTTCGCGTTGTGGACCACATATCCTCTGCACTTGAAAACAAGCAATATTGCACTGGTGCCTTTCTGGACGTAGCTCAAGCTTTCGACCGGGTGTGGCACGATGGCTTGCTTTTCAAGCTCAAAACCCATTTACCTCAACCCTTGTACCTAGTCCTCAAATCTTACCTTTCAAATCGCTCCTTTCAAGTCCGCTGCGGCACTGAACTCTCCAAACATTATCCAATTGAGGCTGGTGTTCCACAAGGCAGTGTCTTGGGCCCAGTTCTCTATATCCTTTTCACCGCTGACATCCCTTCAAGTCCTGATACCTTCCTAGCAACATTTGCTGATGATACTGCCATCCTATCCTCCCACTCGGATCCTCTAATAGCGTCCCAGAACCTGCAAAGACACCTTTCCTTCATTGAGCAGTGGTGCAACAACTGGCGCATCAAAATTAATGAATCAAAATGCAAGTATGTAACTTTCACTCTTCGACGCAGATCCTGTCCGCCAATCCTTTTTAATTCAATTCCTCTTCCCTACTCAGACACAGTCCGATACCTTGGCTTCCTTCTGGACAAAAGACTGACTTGGAACCCACATACGAGACTTAAAAGACAAGAGCTTAACCGACGATTTGGTCAGCTATATAGACTACTAAACAGAAGATCTCATCTCTCAACAGAAAACAAATTATTAATCTACAAGACCATACTGAAACCTATCTGGACCTACGGACTTGAACTGTGGGGGACAACTAAATCATCGAATATCAAACGCATCCAATCCTTCCAGTCCAAAGTCCTTCGAACAATAGTCAATGCTCCATATTATGTCACGAACAAGACCCTACACCATGACCTTAACATCCCATATGTCCATGACATCATCCCATCCAGATTCTCCAACTTTCACCAGAACCTCATTCATCATCCCAATCCTCTAGCGCAATCCCTATCCAGCTCCGAGCATCCATACCATCCCCCTCGAAGGTTGAAACGGCAGTGGCCTCGAGATCTTTTGTAAATATGCCTTTGGAGTCCTGGCAATGGCCAGCTTCTCCACTCATGTCCTGAGCGTCTGTGGCTGTATTGCCCTCTTTCAGTCTCCACTGGCTTCTAATACTAGTGATGCGACTGGAAAAGTGGCACTGGGATCTTCCGGAGTCTTGCTTTGCCTTCCGCGTGTGGA